ACTAAACAGTATGACCCTGCACACTGCACAGACTCCACAACAGACAGAGCAACATAAACACACACACACACAAACACACAGTCTTGTAAAACAGACACACAGACTCCACTATGAGGCTCATGTACTTATCCCATGACACATTAACGACAAACTAACCAACATGGAGAACGACCATTAAGGGGCCTATTGACCTCCATTAATGACTCATTGAGTGCCATATTAATTCACAGGGGACCCATTACTCTGTGTTCTACAGTGTGTGAGCTCACATGTGTGTCCTGTATTTTCACATTAAATCTATGCGCATTTTCTTTTGACAAGGCGTATAATTATCTCTTTTCTGTTTGTTTATCTGTTGTGCTTTTGTGTCTGAGTCGTGGCTGCAGTGAATTTTTTGGGGCAAAAAAGGACACAAAAAAAACTAGGATATGTGCCATTAAGAGCAACCGTGGTATCACTATCAGTGCAGGGATAATGATTGCTGGATGGGAGGATTAGCACAGGGCTAAGCTTGTTGTGACCACAGATTGCAGGGCACTCGAAATGAGCACTGCCGGCCCACAGCCAGGGCGGATTAGAGTTGTGACGGACTGGTGGGGGCAGGGAATGCATGGTATACTTAAAGGCTGGCTGCAGGGTTTAATGGATGGCTCACTGGTTAGCTGGTTAGCTGGTCTGCGGGCGATGTTGAAAGTCTGGCAGGGTGCCCTCTGTAGCTGTCGCTGGCAGGGAAAGAGACAACAAGCCCTCGGAGAGACGGGTCAAAATCTCAGGTCATGAGCCAGAGTGGCGGCTACTGATCCTCACTGGAAATATTTGCAGCATACTGTATTTCTACAGCAACTGCTAATCAAAGAGCAACTCAGACAGTACTTACTTCTCAATGCATTTAGGTATTAATGTGTAAAGCCACAATAGCACCCATCATTACAGATGTGTCCTTTTGGATTTACATCTGGAATTTGTACTAATTTAGAGTGTCCTGGCACAGTTAACATCAAGTGATCCTTCATCCTTCGACAGGCTTCTCACTCTCTGGCGCTCCTACATGTAGTTGAGTCCAACAGCCCTGAAATAAATACATGGATTAGACAAAATGTAAACCTTTTTTTAAAGACATCTGACAAACTGGCTAATGGGTTGACTTTTTAATTATAACTGTCTCAGATAAGGCTCAGCAATATTATGAAGAGGAAGATAACACAAGGTAAACACACACATAGTCAACCTAGAACAGATGTACGATTGTAATTGGGTAATTACTTTAACAGGATTTCAGATCTATAAATTGATTGATCCAAGGTTGGGGGTTGCCATAGCCGATGTGCAAGCACCACACCCATGTTTTATAATCTCACAAGAAACAGAATAGCACAGATACAGTCTGTCCTAAAGTTAAAAAGATAAACATGCAAAACGTTCCAAGATGTAATTGATGGATCAGTACTAGATAACACTCACCTTTACTATTGTCCCACTCAACTTCAACAGAGCAGGCTAAAGTAAACACACATTGTGAACAGACACTATTCAAAATGTATATTTATATTTAATTCTAGATAGAAATTGCATTTCCCATCATATCATAAATTAAATATTTAACTAGTAAAAACAAGCACATTGACGGCAACAAAACAGGAATACTATTTATGAACCTGCCATAGACATCGTTGAACTAATGACGTTTTTTCCAACCAAACATTTTAGTTTCTAAATATCTTGACCACTCTATACACTAACCCAATAACATTAAATTGACACAAATGTAAGGACCAGTGTGGAAGAAAAAAGATCAATTTTCTTACTAAAAATGTAAACCACTCAATTACATTAGGGTAGTGGTTTATAATACATGAGTATTGACCATAGGTATTGACACAGATTATAGTGCATGCATTGTATTACTTGCATTAGTTTCAAAGCTATATCTGTCCTGACTTCGACATGTTGTTCTTATCAACTCCTCCCCGACACCACACACAAATAGATAGGATTTACCTGTTTGAACCCTTTCTTGCCGACCTTTGAGGTCACAAAGCTGCACTCTGATTGACTGTGATAATATCCGCTCACACTAGTAACCACCTGATATGATTGTGCTCTTGTTATGTTGGCAAAGATTTGGTGGGGCATATCTGAATCTTGATCTCTGAGATGCACAACAACACACGGGTGCCTGAAAGGAGAATGCACAATGCAGCATTGACAAAGCACCGACAGGCCTCATTAGCTGCACCACATCCTGGTTATCTGATCTCCATGCATGTCTGACTTGAACCAACGCTTGTAACGTATGACTCAACTCTTGGATGAAAGGCACCAGTGTCAAACTACCCGCCAAAGCTATATGTCATGACAAAATGATACCAAGGATGTGCTAACAGTCAGTGTTAGTCAGCACTTACGCTCTTTAGGTGATAACATTCATGTTTAAGATCTGTAACCAGAAATGTCCAGTCAAAACTTGTAAATGTAAGATGGACAAAGATGCCCTGACATTGCGTTATAACTCTTTATTTAACCGAGTAGTTTCCAACAGATTACAAACTCTACATTTATTGTTATTTCCTCTGTTGTTTTGTGTTATAACCTATAGCTCAATGGAGACAAGACCAAGTTTATTTGTACAGTATTTTCCGAGCTTGTAATTGAGATGTCTTAGCATTATGGCGACATAAAAAAATCCATCTGTTAGAAACTTGATAGCCACATTCGGCTATTATTAGCTGAAGATAAACTGGGGGCGGTGGAAAGTTGTAAACACAACTTTGACATATCACCTCATAAAGTGGCAATCTTGTTTGCAAACGGTTGGTTATTAACTTGAAAATGGAACTAAAATAAAACAAGCTATCATCCACTTCTTTGAATCCCTCCTTTGTCTTGCAATTAACTTTAGAATAGCATATTGATTTCCTATATTGGATTTAATGGATCACCCCCAATCCTCACTACAATTCCCCTAATGCCTCTATGGACAATTACGTATAGTAGTTTAAAAGGGGATTTCTGTATCAGTGTGCCAACAGAGTGCTGCATCCAATCTCTATCAAATGGCTTGCTTCATTTAACTGACAGGATCAATAATACCATAGAAGCCTCTTCCCTCCTTTCATTACCTAGTCTTTATTTGTTCCCTTATTAGACGTGAACTTAAGGAATTGTGTTTAACAAGTGTTTAACAATAAAGATGTTCTTAGTATAAAGATAACCACCATAGGCAGAGAAACACGTGGAAGAAGTCAAGGACATGTCACAGTCTTCATGACAAGAATTTTATTTTTATTTTTTTATTACATTTTGCATTAAATTAAAGAGTTTTTTCTTTACAACATACATTAAGCTGTGAATCAGATGTTAAGGAAGTGGAGAGAGTAGGGCAAAAAACTTTGTGACGTCACAATATCTTACAAGCTTACAAAGTTCAAAAGATTGAGAAGTTCAGAAGAGAGTTGATTTGCATCTAATAGCAGTGTATTATAACAAGGGTGAAAGACAAAAAAGGCACACACCAAAGAACCTCACTGTCCACAGCAGCCTTCACAGTCAAACCCAGTCCAGTCTTTAAAGTCTTCAAACCCCACTGACATCAAACGCTTGATGTTACAGAAATGCACCCACAGCTAAATGTACTCGTCTAAACAGGATGTGGACATTTAACCTCGTGACCTAGACAGACCTTGATTCTCATGTTCACATACTGTGTGGACACGGCAATTCTCCGAGGCGAAAGCTGCTACAACTGAACATTTCAAGACAAGAAATATTTAGTTGTAGATCAGCAATATACCAGGCTTGGGAAAGTTGCTGTGTCATGCACTTTACAGCACACTGGAGGGTGTAAATAGGGCCTTGTAGAGCCCAGTAACCAGCTACAATGAAGTGGTTTTCTGGAGAAGTTTAAACCCCTTCATACTAATCTTGGGTCCTTTGCACTTTAAAGATCACAGGTTTAGGTATTGGGATGAATGTCTCAATTTCCCCCGGACTATGTTCCTGAAGGGGCACCCTCCTCTGGGCTCGTTTGATCTAATCTTCTACCCATGACCCTGTCATTTGCAATAAACCCTGCAAGCGTTTATGTACACGTTAGTCAGGTCACAGATCCTACACGCTCCTTCCGACGTTAGCTGTGGATTGAGACATAGTTGGCTTTCCTCCATTGAGAAACAGAAAATTGCTTGATATCGAGTACACTTTTACCTATCTACACATACAACACTAAGGGAGTGCTCCATTGATTTAAGTGTTGGGGGTGATCAATGAAAACCCTTAAGTAAAAAGGTCAGATTAGTCAAACTTTCAGCCGTTCATAAGGCTTTCATAGGGAGAGTTAAAGAAGCAAAAATAAAAACTAAACTTCCTCATTATTTTTCTTACAAAAAGGGGTTAAACAAGGTCAATTTTTTTTTTAATATTGTTTTTTTAAATATCAACTTTTCTCACAGGAACCAGCCTGTTTTTGCAACTGCCTAACAACTGAGTGTTACGATGCACACAAGAAGCCTAGAACTGTGTTAGTACATTGGGTGCTTATGTGTATCTCACACTGTGCGTTTGCTAGTGTTGCTTTATTATTGCAGTGCACCAGCAAGATACCCATACACTGGCCTTCTCAAGTAACACATGTTAATTGTTCGGTTAATCAGTCAATTGACCATTACTCCAAACCAACAGACAGCAAAAAAAAGTAAACACAAATACCAGGACTTTTAAATTGTATAAAATATAAAATCAAAAACACTCACAACGTCTTCATGGACACTGCCAGCACAACATAAAGGGTTGCTTTAAGCGCATTAATGGCACAATCAGAAATGAACCACAAAGATGTGTGTGTGTGTGTGTGTGTGTGTGTGTGTGTGTGTGTGTGTGTGTGTGTGTGTGTGTGTGTGTGTGTGTGTGTGTGTATAAGAAAGAGTGAAAGAAGAAAGGGAAATCCTTCCTGTCTTCCCTCTCGACTGTAAGTGTGTAATGTCTAGGGACCAGAATTACAACAATAACACCTACATTCTTTAATTGCATTTTTATCAAACCAGGGAAATATCATGACGTAAGAAAAATAAAAAAATACTACAAGGAGACAAAGTTAACAGCTATTAAAGAAAACATTGTCACTACTTTAGGGTGTAAGGCACAAATGTACATGTGGAAAATAAAGCAGGCAATACAGATGTTTATGTAGATTTCTTTCTACCTGCTAACCTGCGTGGCGCTGCTAGTAAAGACGATATGTTCCTCATTTGCTAGCAGCGTCACTTACAGCTTCCATTTTGTATGTGTGTATACATATTCTCGTACTGTTGCTGCAGCTGCTTCTCTTATATTTGCAACATACAACAGTGAGCTTTGATAACACCGGTAAGCCAGCAACCAATGAGGACAAATGTTACTGACTTACACAAAACCACAGTGCTGATAAAGAGGGGATGCTCATTGGAGGAGTGAAAGGGTGAGATTCAGGAAGTCTTTTTTATGATTGGTCTAAAACAATGGATATTCTGATCCATGAAGGTAAAAGTCCCTGTCTGGCACAGTTTTAAATAAATATCTCCTCCTCCTCTTCACAGAGGTCACATATATCTCAAGCTGCAGGCCCCACTGAGCGCACAGTAAGACCTTGTGGATTTTCAGTCATCAAGAAAGTTCTACGGGCTCCAGTTTAATGACTTTAAATACGTTTTTTTCTCACACTTGATTAATTAATATTAAAAGATCTCTTCTCTGTCCCCTCTCTCTCTGAGGCCTAGAAAGTCTTTTTTTTCAAAAGCACTTGATAAAAATAAATACAACAAGCTATTAGTATTAACAGTCATGTGTGATTTAGTAACCAGTACAGTAGAGGATTCCTCTTGCCCAGGCTTTCAGGCAAACCCAGGCAGGACTTGATTGCTGTAACACTGAGAGGCTTTTTCACAGCTTCTGACAGAACTCAGAAAAGCTGTCTGTCCTTACAGTCCGAGCTCAGTCTCTCTGAGTGCTTGCTCGCACAGATTTCCCAGTCCTCAGGGTACTGTACAACGATTCATCTCCAAACCCCCCATCCTGTCTTCTTGTGTGCTTTCTTACCACTGTGATATCAAGTTAAGTCCCGGTGGCAAAAGACACAACAAACAAGAGAGCCAACGTCTTGAATGCTACAGGGATGAAATATTCAGGACAAGCATCATCTTCTGTTTCAGTAGCACATGTTCCCATGTGTGTTAACAGAGTAACAGGGAGACAGACAGAGCATGAGCTTCATGACGGCAACAAATGACGACAACCATTTGTATAATATTTACATATTTATAAAAAAGAAAGTGTTTCTTAAAAAAACTGTGTTGCATTTTTCACTGTACTGTACACCAAAAACAAAAAAACACTAAAAGAAGATGCAAGTTGTACAGTTTCCCTGTTTTTTCCTTCTTTCAGAAAGAAAACGTTCACTACTGTCCGATCAGATTGGACTGGTTCGCTAACTAGCTGACTATGTGCAGTCACTGGACTTGACTTTTGTCGAGAGTGAGACTACGGAGGGTTTGGGAGGGACATCAGGCTTGAGATATTTGAAGCCCGTTCGTGGCAGTGAACCATAGGAGCTCATTCCAGGGTGCCGTGATAGAGATATGCCGTGTGCTGTCATTTGTATGGAGTCCACCCTCTGAGGGGCAGGGGGCGGAGTCTCCACGCGGTTGAAGCTGTGATGTCTCGCCAAATGGGAGGAGTTAGATGAGTTGGTGTTATGCTTCTTGAGGACAGACGACCCAGAAGCCCCGGATGCTGATCCTTTCCGGAGCCCGTATACTGATGAGTGGACCTCCAGACGTTTTCCCATCTGTGGGACGGCCGGGGGGACAGAGAGAGAGGCCTCTCGTTGGGGCACACGTGGCGGTAGCATCCCATCTGGATCCACCATGTTGAGATTGTGACAGGGGCTTTTGACTGTCTTGTACTCCAGTGTTGCCCCCTGGTCATCCATGACACTGTGGCCCATGCTGAGGTCACTGTGGTGGGGCTGCTCCACGTACTCGTGCTGGTAGGAATGCTGGTGCTGCTGCAGGTGGGGCTGGAGCTGGTGCTGATGCTGTGGCAGAGGCAGGACCACCACGCTGGGGATGTGTCCCGGAGATGCCCTCAGCGGCAGGTCTGTGGAGATAACCGGGGAGCCCATCGCTTGCATATCCTTGGTACAAGCGTTGATGAGGTTCTGGTTCCTCTCCCACTCCCGGCTCCCTCGGCTGGGCTTCCGACGCGGCTGCATGGGGGTGGATTCAGGTGTCGGCAGAGCGGAAAGGTCCAAGTGGTGCTGGTCAGCTTTTATCAGCATCTTCCCATTTGGAGTCAGTCTCCCGTTGTGCATCAAAGGGGTGAGGATTGCCTCGGGGCGACCGTCTTTGGCCTGTGTCTCGAACAGACCCGTCAGCTTGGTCACGCTGTTCATGGAGCCGCGGCGAGAGTGGAGGTGGTGGCTGTCCTTTTCCTTGCGGCCTGTCAGGTCTACGTCTCGCCGCCGGTGGTCACAGACACAGTAAACAATGATGCCAGAGAAGATGGCGCCCATGGCAAAGGCTAGGATGACGGCGATGGCCAACAATGTCACGGGAACGAGCTGGTCACGACCCTTCTGGTAGCTTTCACGGATCACACCTGCAGAGAGACGTGGAGATGACATTCAGACTGACAGACCAAAAGAATGAGAGATTAAACTGATGCTGCTGCTAGGTGTTGTGGGAACTTCTAAGAAAGATGCTGTAGGGAAAAAATGCTTATTATTAAACCAGAAATAGAAAACGATATTGAATTACAATAATCAGAAGACATTTTCTGGATAAAAAGATTAGCGGTTTAAATCATTTAGAGAAAAACATGCAAATGAAGATGGATTTATCCCATCATAAGGAACACCTTTTCAAAACGAGCACAAGCTTGAAGTAGCAACATTGAATATTTTTTCTGAAAATCCAATCTTCAGCTGAAAACATGTTTTGGAGGGATGCTTATGATTCACATTTTAAATCCTAGATAAAAACCCTCTGCTGAAATGAAAAAAGATATGAGCGCAGATAAAGGCGCCTGAAATACCCAAACCCTTTCTTTTCATTGATGCAAATGGGAGACTTTTCATAAATCTTGGATCCAATCTCATGAATCACAGAGAATACATTAAAAGCATCTGATTAGCCGTTCAATCCAATGAGCTGTGTCATCAGTGTCCTATGAAAGCGCTACTTTCAAAGGCAGAGAAAGAAGCGATGCGATACGGCCAAATTAAAAAAAAGAATTCAATAAAAGAAGCTATCAAGTATTCTAGCGTCGGGAGAGTGGGAGCAGCAGGTTGCCCATGATGAAATGGGGTCAACAACAATCAGCACACACATACACACAAGTGTGGACGTATGCACCTCCCACACACACACTCACAGATGATAACTTCCAGCCTGTTGATGAATGTGGACATCTAATGCAGCACTCTGTTCCTTGGGTTAAACACACCAGTCCCAAGCAGAGAGATTTATAATGCATTCACACATGACCTGTGGCCAACACAGATCAGTTACCACAGACAGAGGATTAGGCAGGTGGGCTCTATCATGTAAAAAGCTCCCACAGTGCACTGCTGCTCTTGATTGCGTGACTGGGTTACATATGTGTTCTCTTATCACAGTATATGTTATTCACTATGCAGCGAAAATGTGTGGATTATTTTTAAAAATCTCTTTGCATGCTGTTTTTGTCTCGAGGTCAATGTGTAAAGCTGTAAAAGGCTAAACAGATTTCATTCAATCCGGATAAAATAGGTCTATAACCTGATATTCATATGAGTGAAAGGAATCTAACTTCACAAAAATGCTTCTATTATGTGTGCGTCTCCTCTACAGAGAGATCTGTTTGCAGTAGATATATATTCTAAAATAAGCGCTTTGTGAAAAATATGATTAGTATGACAGGAATGCTTTTCTAAGGATTTGCATAATGGTAGGAAAAAACATTAAAATAATGTTTGTATAACTTTACCTATTTAATGTCATATTTTCTCAACAGCAAAATCACTTTTAAAAGTCAAAGGAAAATGGTAATTTAATTTAGTGTGTTCTGTATGCCCACATTACATTGGCAACATAATACTAAAGAGCACTATACTACTTAGTTTCAGCTTCACAATCACTTTTCATGCAGATTCTATTACACGTCTTTCAATTTGCTTAGAAAATGTCATAAAGAAGATGCCACAAAATGAAGTGTTAGTTGCAATGATTCTGTAAAATCCTGAAGGGGCTGGGTAATCATGTTTAGGCTTTTCAACTCGTCTGTGTAACCAAGGACGCACTTGGAGAATATCTACTTTCAAGACATAACACAGACACAGAGACAACATGATAATCTGTTCTCATGGAACTGAAATCCAGACTCTCCTAAACTAACATCCATAATCCTCGCTCGCTGCAGTCATACTTCATTAGTCCAAAGACATGACTTGAATCACGTTTTTTCCAAGCTGAACTAAAGCACTGAGCAATGTCTGAGACTCTGCTTTGACTTTAAAGCTCAACCTGGATAAAAAGAGGAGTTACTTTGGCTCAGATCATTCCTCATTCATTGTACAAACAAAGCTTCACTTTTCTCTTTAATAGAGTGCTGACAACATGCAGCTGAGCCGTAATTCATTTAGTGTTAAACAACCGGTTTAAAAATGTCTCTCGTGTCCAAAATCGTTTCTTATCAAGGACGTGCCCAGCTGTGCAGCTAGTGTGAGAAGTGATGAGTGCTATCTGCAGTGAAGCATTAAGGGTTGACATGTGTTATGCTGTGGACTCAAGTGACCAAATGGCGGCTCTGTCTGATGATGCATCTGCTTCCCATTGCATACAGTAACTTCTGAGAATGAGAGAGATACTTTCTCTCGCTGCTATCTTTCATTTTGTCCTCACTTGGATTTTTTTCCCCACATTCTGCTTCTTCTTGCTTTTACAGAAACAATGAATCACTTTTTTGACTTGACTTCTTTCACACTGTTCAGCTTCCATATGGTAAGTGTTGTATTCAGTGGAAACTGGGAGGCCTGTAATTATAACCTTGTGGTCTTTGCGAGTTATCATCCTTTGGCAGAATCGACAATGGTGAGCATTTGAGAGCTGCTGGGTTAAGCGTTTTGTTGAACAAAGAAGGAAAATGAAAGAAGAATACAGCTTCACTTGACTTGAGGTGAGGAGCCTTGAACATCTTCAAAAACCATTTGCGTAAGAAAATGAGAGTGCAAGCATAAAGAAATACTTTGGCAAATCTTTCTTTTTTCCATAATCCTTGTTAAATATAAATACAATCATCCATCTCTGTCTATGGTGCTTACATGCTGAAAGAGCAAGTCAAAACGGTTATGAATTTTCATGACAGTGAATTTATTGCTGCTAAAGGTTAACTTTCTTCGACCGGGGATTTGAATTTCGTTTTGAATAACAAAGACGGTGGGGAGCAAAGCCAAACGGGTGTCCATTCTGGTGGAGGAGGTGAGCTGTGGAGCTAGATCTTTGTCTTCTATTTGAGGTTCTGGAGCTGAGGTCAAAACCCTATTTGACCAGCTCTGCATGGTTCTTTCTCTCTGTGTCCTAAAAGAAAACTGCAAACGTTTTTTAATTTTTCTCATTTATTCTTCCCTTCCATCCATCACTCATGCCTGTCACACACTTCCGGAGGATACTTAGCCCAGGGCCTTGGGTAAAACATAAAAGAATGAAAAGGGGAAACTTTGAAGACTTCCATCTTTTATGTGACGAATTGTTTCTCATCCTTACATCAAAGAGAATAAGAGTAGCCAAAGAGAACAAGTAAACCATCTTTGTCAAATCAAAGGACTTCAAGGTGTTGAATAAAGGTAGCCGCCCCGCTTATTTTTTTTCAACTTTCACAATGTGACCTTGAAAACTATCAAAGTGTTTCTTAAACAACCATATTTGTTTGCTTCAGACTCATCCTGTTAAAGTTTGGCTAAACAGTGATTTATAATCTTATGGTTTCCATTCATGCCTCGCCCCAGAATGTCTTGCAAGCCTTCCTGTACTGTAGTTCGAGACTTCTCTCAACGTTTGAATTGATTCGATTTTTTGCTTCGGGCCTCAACATTCAGATATTAAACACATATCTCAGATACTCATATATCTCTCGCTGTCAAAACCGCCTGGGTCTGCAACACTTACTTTTAAATCAGAAACATTGTAATCTGCTGTGACTAGAGCCTGTGAAGGCCCTCTCTCAGTCCGCCACACTTTGACTCCCCTACACAGAGTTTAATCTCTTCAGAAGCACCAACTAAATTGAGCCCACAGGCAAGTCTTTGTGTTGGTGTTGGAGAAACTTCAAAGGTAGTTAAACATCACAGAGAGGTTGCGGAGAGGGCCCTAACCTCTGACAACAGGCCGTTACACAAAGACACTGTCTAAAGAATGATAAAAATCTTAATCAGATGTAACTGCTCACACTGACATGTCACTTGTTGAAAGGCAGAACGGTGGACCTTGACAACCAATGGAGTAGAAAGGAATATGAAGGGAGGAGAAGAATAAGGCCACGTTTACACGGAGACGAAACGGGTTTTATCCGCTACAGTTCTCTATCGTATGGACGGTTCGTCCACACGAGGCCGTAACGGAACCGCGGAAACGGAGCCCTCAAACGATAACGGCTCCCAAGGTGGGTAGATCTGCGGACGAAACGCACCGTGTGTACGTCCTATACGATCATTTCCTGATAACGATGACGCCATAGGCCCGCCTCTCCCCACCTCTGCTGCTCAGCCCCGCGTCACCCGCGTCATTGCTGATGTGTTTCGCCAACAACAACAACAATGGCGGATCACAGGGTTGCTTTCGTGCTCCAGACGCTACTGACCATGCTACAGATGTTAGTGCACAATCTACAGCTCCTCTACCACAACCATCATCAACAAGTGGACATGGAGAACTACATGAACTACATGTTGCTAAATCCACCGCGGAGAATAAACAGAAGGGCAACCAGGCAACCATGGCAACCATGCTCGGGGGGTCTTCTTCGCTGCTTTTGGTGTATTTTGTGGCGGAAGTACTTACAGGCCCGGCATGTGTACTACAGCGTCTCCAGCGGGTCGAGCGGTCTCGTGTGGACGGACACGTTTCTTGAGCCGATTCCGTGTGGACGGAAGACTTTTTTGATATCGATTAAGGTTCGTTTTTGTTTTCGTCTCCGTGTAAACGTGGCCTAAGTTTGCTGCCTTCCTTACTTTTACTCTACAGCAGTGAGAGCTTAGGAAACTTCCTATATGTGTTCAGGGACTTGGTTGTTGTCATCTTTTAAAAAGGACATTGCTGTTTAGATGATGACAGCAATTCATTAAATTATATTTAATCCCCGGGTTAGGATATTATCCCATTAAGTCTTGTATTTGTTTACGCTCGAGAGGCACTTCCATTAATGGTGTTATTCAATCTTAAAGCATTCATCAAACAATCGAGAGTCAGTGAACAGCATACTGATGAGCCAGTAAAGATATAATTAAAGCCGTAATTATATAATTCTGCACCTCAGGTATTAACGCAGATGTACTAACCTATCCACCTCCGCGCATACAAACTGTAGTATATTGAAATCAACCTGAATTACACGTCCCTGGGAAC